ATTAGGGGGATATTAATCAGGAGAACAAATACAAAGTTTAGGGAAGGGAAAAGCGCAATTGCACTTAGGCACGGGAGTTGACGACCCTGTCATCAGATTCGAATTACAACCTTGTCTCCTCCCTGAAAGGCCCATTAAAACAGCATAAGTATTACACAAATTCACAAGGGCGAAAAACATGCTAGGGCCCGAGTCCTGCTAGAAGACATATAGACACGCGCCGTACCAGAAATAAGCACACTATCTTCACCAAAGACCTCTTTTTCCGAAGTTCACCTCTCTACTACCTTATTTGGGAACTCGGCATAAAGAAGGCCCTCCCATTTTCACTGTCGCACAAAACATGCTGTTTTCATGCAGGCGCGATCCGCAGCAACTCCGGTCGTCAGGGGAAAATAATGCTGCCCATTGTCATAACACAAATGATAAGGAAATGTTTGGTGGCATTTGCAAATCCTTATTTCCGGTAACCGTGGGCGAATTTGTATGGTCATTTTCTAGATTTATCTAACCGGCTGCTATGTATAACAACTCCTAAGTGCATCAAGATGTCCCAATACTATTTGATTTAGTTTAGTTCAAACTGTAAAATTTGTTGTTGCGTTAAATTCGATCTTGTTTACTTCGGTTTTAAGACTTGACATTAAAATAAATGCACAAATTGTAACTTTGAGGAATTTAAAATGTGAATACGTTATTTAGCATGCCAAAAGGCGACCATTTGATTCAAATTACCATAATAATGGCCATCTGCAAATTATTAATTGGTGACACTTTATCGGCACCTTTACCATTATCTTCAGATACATCACCTTGCCCTATACGTACCATTCCAAATACGGAGGATTTGTTTGCTATAATCGTGGTAATTATTTGCAGAGGTAACAGTGGTTGATTATGGCCAATTTATTGCCTTCTCGATGTCAAGGCAGTGTTATTAGTGCATTAAAATATGACATTTAGCAATCTATAAGTAAAATAATTGCAACCTTAAACGATACGTGCTCCAAAATTTTCAAACATGCAATCTCATCTTCCGATGAATATGTCCTATCGATCAATTTGTCAATTCTTTTTAGTGTCATATATTTCCCTCGATTCTGCTGAGAATTTTTCAGCAATCCTTACAACCATGTTTGCAAAAATTTCTTC